AAGGGAGAGGAGTGTGACTAATTAAAGATAATCCTGTCCTTAGTTATTCATAAATACTGAAGGAAGAATTCCTTTGTTTCAGCAAAATTGCTGTGTCAGTGCATATGCTACAGTAGTCTTGCATCTTACAGTCCCTGTCATCTTTCAATAATGTTAAAGTCTAGATCCTTGCTAATCAGCTCTTCCAAAATATCTAAATTCTTTATGTGTTATGATTATTATGTCTACTTCTTTTGTACTGTCATATTTTGTACTTTATTATTTTTTATGTTGTTAATACAGAATCTGTTGCCAAAAAAGGATTATCCATTATTATGAGTGTCAGCATGGGAACTAATATTGTTCGTGTTATGCCAACTGGAAAACATACAGGAACAGTTATATTTCTTCATGGATCAGGTATGTTTACCTAATATGACAAAGAAAATAACATCAACTGTAAAATAAAGACATATTTTAACTTGTAAAACGCTGCTGTGGTGATGTGTCATAGGAGATACTGGGCAAGGAGTAAGGGAGTGGATTAAAACTTTACTTGGGAAGGACCTGACATTCCCTAATTTAAAGTTGCTATATCCAACTGCCCCATTACGACCTTACACACCTTTGGATGGTCATGTAAGTCTCTTTCTTCATGAGATATTCTGAATAAATATATATGTAGTATTTTTATGTCTTTCCATGACCTGAATCAATAAAGTAGTTGCTTTTTCTGCAAGAAATTGTATGTGTATTAAAAAATTTATTTTCAAATTTGCCTTTTCTTGACAGAATAGTTATGTTTGGTTTGATCGTCAGCGTATTTCTCCTGATGTTCCAGAACACTTGGAAACTATTAATTCATCAGCTGAACAGTTGAGTCAGTTGGTGCAGAATGAAATAAATGATGGAATATCATTGAGAAATATAATAATAGGTAATGCAAATTAGGTTTAAATAATTGAAGTCGTTTCTTCACAAATGAGAAATTGTTCACATAGCACAAGTATTTAAATGAAGTAAAATAAACTTGAGAACTAACTTGTAAAATTGGTAGAATAAAAAGTATAGGTTTTAAGATACAGTACGCATACTAAATTATTTATGGAAAATCAATCTCCTAATTGTAGGAAAATTTCATATGTATAATGTCCTGTTACAGGAGGATTTTCAATGGGTGGTGCAATGGCCATGCATCTTGGATATCGTTCATTGTTTGGTATTGGAGGTGTTTTTGCTTTGTCATCGTTTCTCAATGACAACTCAATAGTATATAAGGTATTGATCCTTAAGCTTCTTACAAATTTCTCTCAAAATACTTGTTTATCAAAGAAAATCAAAATCAAAATTTGTAGGCAAAAAAATGAGATAGTTCTCTTTAATTGAGACTTAAAATTAGTCTTCCTTTTGTTAATTTTTCTTTTCACTTATTATTCTACTCTTTTATTTGTTCAAATTGTATGTAGGAAGTTCCTTTTAATAGTTTAAGAAATACCTATTTTTATTGTATCTTATGAAGAATTGTTAAAAACCAAAACACATACATAATTTATGTTGTCGTAACTTTTTAGAATCAAAGAATTTTGATCTATTAACCTTAGCAACTCCAAGTTATTAAATGTGTCATTACCAAGAGTGGACTAGCAGAGCTCACCACTTGAATTTTGATTTTATGAATGTTTTAGACAATTTTGATATATTAATAAATTTATATAATTAATAACATGTATGAATGAAAAACATTATTCAATTCGTGGTTCTTCAAATGAAAAATGATCAATATTCTTGTATTTGTGTTTAATGTCAAGATGTATTACATTTTTGTATCAAAGGATGATTAATCTTCATAACCAGGACATGATTTCTGATGACCTAAAAATTCTTTTAAAATGAGTTTAAAAAAAGAGGAAAATTTGAGGAAGTTACCAAATGTTCATTGCAGTCCACTGCAGTAGTGAATTTCGTCATGAACTGATGATACGATAAAAACTTTTTGGTGTGTCATTGGAAATTCATGGAACATACCAAAAAAACAGGAAAAGAAAATAAAATGCATAAAAATGTTGCAAAGGTCCAAAAAAATACCTAAAACTTGAAAGAAAAAAAAGACCCAATAACTATGCATTTCTTTGCCTATATGTCATGATAAACATACATTTATAAGTTAGCTATGTTTAGAAAGTACCAATTGAAGGATGGCATGTCATCAGAATCCCAGCCCTGTTCATAACATAGTAATATATTAAACCATATTATATTAAGACATTATAAAATTATACAAATATTTCCAAAACATATTCTGAATATTCAGTTTAATGAGTGAATAGCCCCAAGTTTTTTCACCCATGGCCAAAGCCACTGTGATCACTCAAAACATAACAAACACTTGTAATTCTGTTTAATTTGTTAGCAAAAACTACACCATATTCCATGTCAATGATTTTTAGCTTCTTAAAAAATTGAAACCTATAAAAAGTCATGAATCCTCTTTTGGTAATGCTAGGGTTAATCATGAAGAGTTGTTACAGATTGTTTCTTAATTTACCTCATTAGAACAAAAATGGTATTTATTTTTTGTTTCAGGAACTTAGTAATCAGATTGGTGACGGCCATGTACCACCTCTGTTCATGTGCCATGGAGACAGAGATGAGTTAGTATATCTTTCTTGGGGGCAACAAACATTTGAACTCCTAAAGAAAAATGGTGTTGAAGGTCAATTTCATATTTTGAAAGATGCTTTTCACGAGCTCAAGAAACGGGAGTTACATCTTTTGAATGATTGGTTATTAGAACGTGTGCCAATAGCTTCGTAATGTTTAAAAACTCTTCTTGAAAAAGAAGAGTGATGTAGTAAAGAGGTAAAAGACACTATGCATTCAAGTGGTTGGTACAGCCACAGGAAAGTCTCTTTCAAACACACAGTGCATTTCTTTATTTGAGTATATTGCAGGCAACGTTCTAAATTATTTTCCTGCTGATTTCTTCAAAAGAAAAGCATTTTGCATGAATTAAACGATTGTAATGTTGAATATTTAGCTCAATTCTTGGAAGTAACATAGAGATACGATATTCCCTCTCACAAAGAGATATACGCTCTTTCCTCTATAATAGTAGTTACTTAAAGCAGAGTGTAAAGAAATTACATCCTTGCATTTTTTATATTTTCAGAGTGAAGGAATTAATTATCAACAATTGGACTTAACTAGTATGTGAGAATCTCGATTTTTAGTGGAGGATTAGTTACTAAGAAATAGTTAAGACTTACTTTTTATGTTTGTTATATTATTGGTTTTATTTATGTGATATAATGATCCAGTGTGGCATTTTAATGCAACAGAATGAAGAGGATACTTTATGTGAAAGTTGGTTGTATTTAGAAGTTATTATGAATTGATTTATTATTCATAAATTGGGAGTCTCTATTTATCTTCCAATTTCAATACCCAGAAGAAAAAGATCTGATAGGGAAGTTGTGGTAATAAAAGTTCCATTTTTATTGGACGCAGAGATTATTAAAGCAAAATGCTATTCTAGAAGAAGAATGATTATTATGTAGTATTTGTTTAGAAGTCGTTGATCTGAAGCATGAAGAATTTGTATTTCTTATCCTGTTTTTCTTATCTGCTGTATTCTTTAATTACAATTTTTAATTTGTTTACCTCATTGGGTTTGATTTGAATAAAGTTGAATTTTCTTTTAAAATAATAAAATATTTATTTTATTGTAATTTTTATTATTCCTTGTGGGGAAAAAAAGAAGGTATTTTTATTCATTTGTGTATTAAATCTTGTGGTCAGAGATGATAGAAGTCCTTTTATTTATGGAGAGTTTTATTCTCAGGTGGGGGAAAAAAAAGAAATGTCATTAAGGTCATTAATTTGTACTATTTTATTTTCTCTATGAAAATATTGCCACTTCACCTTTCAACAAGGAATGCCATCTCCACCTCTATTTGTGGGGAACGATACCCAAACTTCAGAGATTTTCCTCTGTTACGCAGGATGCCATGCACATGAGGAGGTCATTGTAATGGGGGACTAATCTGGCATCATGCTGATGAACACTACCCCTTTCTCTACTCTGATGTTGGAATGAACCCAATGTAGGCTCCATGTTGAAGAGTTAAAAGTCAACATTAAAGTAAAAGTCAATTTTATTCTTTCATAAACAATTTCTAAATTTTATGTTCATAAATGTAAAAATTTATTGGTGGGATGTGTTATTTGTTTCTAGTCTAGAAGATACTTAGATTTCAATGTTTTTGGTGCACTTATCTTTAAAGTTGTTCCTGTTAAAAGTTCAGAAACGTTTAGCTACTTCAAATGAAATGGGGATATGAACAAAGAAGTAGAAAATACCTGAATTCCAAGAATGGAATAGTAGAGAATGTAATAAAGAAAATTATATCATATATAGATTTGGGCTTGTTCTTCAAAACTTGGAAATTAATATGAATCTAAAGGAAGCAAAATGTGCAATACTGTATTTAGAAAAGAAATTAATTTATTTTGAATGAAAGGAAAATATACAGAAGTATTTACTGCATTTACCCGAATATAAAATAACCCCCTAAGGCGTCTCTAAGAGAGCCTTTTGAAATTAAATTGAAAAAACAAATGTTTATGTATTTCTTACTATTTAGTCAAAATAAAATTACAAATTGTCATATTTGTCATATATATCAAAATTGCCTTGATAAGTTTAATTATGTTCCCTGAATGAACAGTATTATCTTATTTCTTTTAAAAATAATCATAGCGTTTGTCCATTTTCTGTCTACCATCTTCATCTTCAAATATTTCAACTAAGTTGTTTTCATTTTTAGCCCTCCCCCCTAAAGTTCTGGGCTTTAAATTTGGACACTTCATCTGACATCATCCAAAAACATTCCGTTTTATATCAGCAGTATTTGTTCTTCCAGTGGTGTTGTTTTTCGTGGCTTCTGATTCTTTAGCAACCATTAACTTTAAATTCGCAAAGTATAATGTACCTGTGGTCGTGTTGTAGACTGCAAACTCGCACATCTCTTTGTCTTCACGAATAGTGTGGGAGAGAGTGGCAAAATTTGGGATTTTTTTTTCATTAATTTTTTACAAAATGTTTCGTCTCATTTGTTGGATGTATAATGAGAATGAAAATGAACTTTCCATTTCATTTCTCTAACAAATGCATATTCGCCGTTGTCGAATGATGAACCGAGAGTCCGCATGACTTTGATCAAATAACAAAACCTCAACAACGATTTTGAATCTTTTTGACATTGCATTTCACATGCCAAAATGCCATTTGCTTGGAATTCTCTTTTGTCTGAATGAATCACCCGCGATGGTTGAATTCTGCTGCAGATGTCAAGAATACGTCCATGAATATTACATATTGAGGCACATGGTTTTTTATCACATTTATAGTTACTTGTTTATAGTTTTATCACATTTATGGTTACCTCAGCGTTCGAGATACTTAACACGGGAAGCCTAAGTAAAAACTAATTTCAATCAACTAGGCTTAGTCTGTGAATATACAGGAGACTCCATATTTTTCAAATGAAGTTTTTAGGAAAAACATCGTCTTATATTCGGATAAATATGATAATACAAATACTTGAATATATTTGCCTCATGTATTTGTCATTGTCAGAGAAAATTATGCAATGAAGTCCAAAGTCTTGTGGAAAATGGTTCAAGATGTTTTAGCAGTGCTTAAATCAGTAGTATTTCCAGGATCACCGACAGCAGAGAGTCTTAAGGTAACACCTTATGTCTCAAGCTTACCAGTTATTGAGAACCCGTGGGTTGCAGGAGCTCAATCATTTACTGTTGCGTTTGCTGGGATTGCAGTTGTTTGCTGACTGCTCTGATTAGTGGTTTTCTGTGATTTCCCCGATTGCTTCCAGGTAAATGCCTAACCAGCATTTAAATGGGCTGTGTGGGGTCCTTTCTTTCTTATCCAGTTCCCATTCCCATCCTTGGGAGTAGAATAATGGGTTGATTATTCATCCTCTTACGGCCCATCCCAGTGAGCTAGGATACCTCTGACTCGCATCAGAGGTGGTCTTAGACGGTAGAAAGTTGACTGTTCAACCAGGAAAATAGGAAATTAAGGAAATGTGAGAAATAGAGATGATCGAGGTATTTTAGGCATGAATATGCCATAGCATCAAATGTATAGATGAATTCCCTCAATTTTACTTCAAAATGTACTTTGTAAGTGTGCTGGTCCATCTCAAGAAGTCAGAGGTTCAGTGGTTAATGCTGAAGCAGTGGGGGGATTCTTTGGTTTGTGTGATAACAGCCTGTCTGATCTGAAAATACTGTGTCAGGATCATTTTCAAGTGCGATTTTATCAGCTCAATGAAGCTAACAGCAAACAGCATTTGCTGCATTTAAACTCATATTCTGAATTGAGAATGGAATAGTATGATCAGTTTTCATGTTTTCAAAGTTCATAGAAAATGTCTTGTGTTACTAAAGAATGTGAATGGGTTATTGAGGAATTAAGAATAAATCGTGTAGGAAAGGAAATTTACAGACATATACTACCACCAGAGAAGGAAAAGTCCTAGCAGAACTTCAGCTCTTTACCCTGAACAAAACCATGAATATAAAAGGTGTTCTCATGTTTGACATTTAGGGAGATTACTGTGGTTGTATAAGGAAAAGATAAAACCACGACAGAATTAATTTCAAGAAAATTTAGTGCAAAAATATGAAACATACTGATAATTAATAAAGATATTTTTCAATGACTTTTGCAGTTCAATTAATGAGACATAATATTATATTGTTTTTCATTTTGCATACAAATGTTTTTTAGTTTCATGGATATTGTGCTTGATTTCTCTAGCATACAAATAAAAATATTGTTTCATTGTAAAAAAGGATATCGTGTCTATTGTATATAGGTACTATATCATATAAAAGCACTATGAAATATAATTTCATTTGTAAGATACACGCAAATCCATTGCTACATCATCAAAACATTCTCGAGATGCATAACAGTTGTACGCCTGTGACGTTGACGGCGTGTAGTGTGTATTCAGGTAGTAGAAATATTTAAATACATCTCCCCGGAGAGCAAAACCAATCCACTCGTGACCGCTATCTTTTTTTTCTGCCTCGGGAATCGACACGGCACCCCTGCTTCCTGCAACCAGCGCGTCGACTCGGGTGCCAGCCGAGTGCTTAACGAGCAGGTTGGGTGCCGCAGTCGAAGGTGCTAGTACGCATGCGCAATCGCTTCTCGCGAGGGGATCATGCAGTGAAATGGTTGTCACCGTTGACGACGCACACGAGGGCGCGAGCCCTCTGTTCACGTCGTAAGGCGACGTGTCCCCGACGCGTAATGTAGGTTTGCGAGTCAGGGAGAAACAAGAAACGGGCCGACAACATGCGGGAATTAAGAATGGTCGATAGGTAAGTGTTTGAGTGGAGTTCTCCGAAGTGATATGTGCCAAGGGTGTGTGCTGTTGGTGTGGCGATCATTGTATTGTGCAGGTGATTTATGCGTAGAAAGCCTTGTGCATGGTTACAGTAGCCTTTGTGCGTAATTTTGAACTGTTTACTTTTAATTTCACGTGTTCATTGCATTTATATTAAAGCTCATTTCCCTAGCATTTCTTGGACATTGTAGGCGATAATTGATTTTTGTTGTTGTCAGTTTCCGCTGAAATAAAATTGTGTATTGTCTCATAGTATCAGCGATTTTTAGTAATTAGAGAAGCATAATAATTGAGAACGAAATTCGCTATATATATCTGAAATTCTGAAATCCCACCCTTTTGATTGGAAGAATCTGAATCGGATGTAAGACGACGGATCATTTGCGGTGGATGTTGACAAAATCGGTCGTATGAATTCTAAATTTAGAAAGAACGAAGATTTTAAATGCTCTTGTTAAAGTATTTCTACATTGTTGCTTTCTTTATGTAACCCCTGGGTGCGTAGGTGGAGCCAAGGTCATTTCTTCTGGATGTTATTGATATTCTCAATTCAGGACAAATTCATACCTTTTAATCAGAGATGAAAATAAATAATTAAGTATAATAAATTTGTATTCTAAGATGGGTAACTATTCGAATGAAAAGGCAAGTTTCGAACTTTGGTGTTGACGGCAGCAAAAACGGATTGTCTCATTTCGAATTCAATTGTAACTTACAATCTTTACAATACTTGTTATTGCAATCATTTTAAATTCAATTGATGAAATGAATCCACCAGTTGTGCGTGAAATTAGTGAAGCTGTCGCCGAGATATTCTGATGGAGTAAATATGTTGCGTAAATATTGATTAAAAAGTGTGTCATATAGCTGAGTGGGGAGCACGGACGTCAAATCGGAGTTTGAATGTTTTGATTATTAATTAAATTCAATAAAAGGATATTTTAGAGTTGAATACGGCATTTGCATAGAAAACCTTAAAAATATACTTTTTAACTTATTTACAGGTGAAAAGATGTGTGAATAGCTGCTACATTTATTCATAAATATTACATAATTTTCATGTTTTTATGGATGAATGTGGGATCATGTTGCTGAAAAATGTATTTGATCATGCAGATATTATCAATAAATCATTTATTTTTTGGAGGTTTGTCAATATGTCCGAAGAAATTGGTTGGTAATATGAAGGAGTGTGTGCTTTCTAAATTTTTTTTTAATAAAAAGGGAAAATGAAATCTGTCATCCGATACGAGACTGCAAAGGAACATAAAGTGTAGTAATATTGTTTTTTTAAATTCATGAAACAGGTTAAAGGTATCTGTATTAAACCTCAGGGATACTGGGTACTATTATTGTGAGGGAGAATTGATATTGTACTGTATTGTATTGATTAATTTTCAGCATCTTATTGTTAGTGATATGAAATTGCCCGGTAGATTTTGTTTTTGTTTTTTTTATTTAAAAAAAAAATTAACTGAACTTGTTTCTTGCAGAAGAGCGGTAGTGTCGGTCGACAAAGACGGGGTGTTTTTCCGACCGACGTGTTATATGCTTCCCCGTTTCCACCTGGCGACCCTGCTTTCAGCTGCCGCCTGCCTACTTTGCGACCTTCGCCGCCCCCGCCAGAGACCTTCGTGCCACCACCTTCGAGGCATTTTATTTTTGTATCCGACTTGCGCCAAGCTCGGTGACCAATCTGCGCGAGCGTATCTAAACTGGAATGCGATCGTCCATTGGAATCGCCTCTCACTAATAGCAGCTTATTTATCCAGGAAGTAACATATTATATGCTCAAGTCATGATGTAGATTACCCTCATATTGTGACTTTAAACGGTGTCATCGGTAAATTTTCCGTTGCTTAAGAGACTGGCGTCATTGTTTTATTGGTGGTGCTTGTTGGTTTCATTATTTTTCTATGCCGAATGTGATACCTGGAATCGGAGGACTCATTAAACTTGCATTGGAAACAACGAAATGCGGATCGCATTTCACCGTTTCCGCACCAAGCTCCCAGGTTTTCCTCACCGGCGCGGATCTCGTAACAGACTGTTTGAGGAAGCGCCGCTGTTTACTACGTCTCCCGCCATTCATTATAATGCACGCATTGATTTCGGCCGAAACGCCGGCCCCTGCTTCCGTCACACGGCACTTCGTCCAGCCCCCGCCAGCACGCGCTCGCCGCCAGCTCCCGCCTCCCAGCGAATTGGCCGAGGAGCCCCGATCGATAGAAACAGGCCGGCACGCGCCCCACCGCCAGCGCCGCATTGCAATCCCTCGCCGTGCCGCGTGTCTCTTCGATGGCTCGCAAAGGCTGGGGCTGGGGCTCAAAGAACTAGAAGAAAAATTGAAAGAAAAACAACAACAAAACAGAAAAGGTTCAGCTCAAATAGTTTTCATTTTATTGGTAATATATTGAATAGTCTCTGCAACTCATGTTTACGATCATGTTTACTAAGACAACTTATAGGTAAAATGGTTTGAAACGCTATACTACACGTAACCTTGCCTCCGAAGTGTTAGTTCTTAATTACAGATTCTCGAACTTCAAAACCATTTAAATCTTACCTCACTATCAAGGTTCTTCCTTTCTTGGGTCCTTGGGGGTCCACGTGGTTTTTACGAGTGACCTGGAAAGCCTAACTTTTTCTTTCGACACTGATGAAACTGGCGTTTTCGACAATTCCGATGAGAACTTAACCAATTCATTCTGAACTGGAAGTATGAGCAATTCTAGCGAAGGATAAGGAATACACAATAAAGCTAACAGATAACGTCTCACTTGTACATATATTTGTTTTTACAATTAAGCTACAAGAATGTGAACTTTGTAGCACGAGTTAATCCTGTTTAATCAATATGTAAGAATCAATATGTCAGGAATGTAGACCGTTAATTCCAATTTATTGTATTTCTGAATAACTTTTTTTACAGACTATTGTAACAAAATATTGTGACGTTTAAATACAGTCAAAATCGCCTTCTTTACGAAGGGCATATTACAGAGTGTAAACATATCCGTTTGCAATTATAATACCGTATAAATATATGTTCGACTAATAGTCGTAGGCCAAGCGCAAAGCTTCTATAAGTCTTAACATTCATATTTTCCCGCCGATCATGGTCTTTTCTCTTCGAGCTCAGCAATCGTGGGAAATGAAGAGTCAATCCTCTTCCGTTTCGGATCACGTGCGGTGCAAGCTGGTGACAGTCCGATCGCGAGATATTTTTAACCGTCAGATTCCTCTTCCCCTCCAGGGAACATGGTTTGTCCCCGCAGAATGCCTCGATATACATAGTAATGCGATAGGAAGACGATAAATGTTCCGAAACTTGAAAACGATCGGTTCTTTTCTTGGCCTGTTTTGTCATTTCGTTCTTTCTCTCTTGGGCACGCACATGCCCAGGAAGTCATTAGTACGTGCAGTCACTTTAAGAAAACAAAACTAGTGCTACATCACATTTTTTCTCGTGTAACTATAATACTAGCTGAACTCTTGCGAAAATTTCGAACATTTGATCTCTGTTGCATATGAAGCCTCTCGTCTGTCCGGATGACGTCGCGTCTCGAGGTCATTGATGCCGACGCAGTGTTTCGACCATCCTGTTGTGGTCTTCAGCGTGACCCGGCAGCCGAGAGCCTTTACTTGACATAGGTTGCGGAAGCCTACCACATATGTTTATCACTAACTACACCAACACGACCCTTGGATTGTTCAGTGTTCAAGATGCTTCTACAAAAATACATATACCATTCATTTTTGAAAATTCAGAAGTTTTAATGAAAAAGGCACCTACGCGATAGAATACAGTGAATTCTATCGTTACAAACTTTTAGAAAAAATGGAGCTGATTTTGAGAAAATCTTATTTACATATTTGTAAGACGTTTTCACGACTTCATTCCAAATTAGAACTAATGTTCCGAAAAAGCTGAATATGAAATGATACGAATGTAGTACATTATTGACGAAAAGATTGCATTAATAAATACAGTTCTAGCTTAAATATTAAGATTGTACGATAGCTTCGAAAAAAATTAACCGTTGCAGTTTTAAAAATTTTAGAGGGTTTCATGAAAACAAGACGGAGACCTATATCTTATTTATAAACAATTACTCTACTCGAAAAAATATAAGGAACAAGAAAAAAAATGAAATTTTTTGAAATAATTTTGGTAAGGTTTTAGGGGCTTCATTTTAAGTACTTCAGAAATTAAAAGATCAATTTCAAATTTGTAGGAACTTGAGTTCGGCGAAATCGATCAGAGAATATCCATTTGGGGGAAAATCCTGGGAATGTTTTAGGCGCTAGTGTTATTTACAAAATGACGGACGAAGATGGGCGTGAGACAAAATGACAAACGGTCGAATGGACACACGGACTGATGGAGAAAAGAATGGCCGGGCAGATGAACCAACGGACAATCGGACGAACAGTCAGTCTGACGGATAGATTAACAGACGCGTTTTGAAACACAAACAACCTTTTCGATATCAGAAATCTCCAAAATGCATGTTTTCGTACATTTTTTGCAGTATTCGTTTATTTCTCTGTTCTTAGAGATGAGGCAAATCAAATAACAGAGAAAAGATGACATATTTTTTCAAGACTTTATAAAATCTTCGTATCTTCAAGCGTGAGGAAGGGATGGAGGACATTGATATGTATAAAATGTCTAAAAATAATGTCTTCAAATTACCAGTATCACATCAAGCATCTTTAGGTTACTAGTTTTGAAACAAAACTTTAAAGATTCTATAATAGAGGTTGGATGATTTTGTGTTGTGTAACATCGATGACGCTTTTGCATTACTCATGCTCACTTGCTTTTGGAGATAGAAGAAACATGAACTTTGACAATGAGAATATTATACATAATCATTTTGCGGCAGTGCTTTAGACATGTGTCCTTTGCATATTTTTATTTCGTGGTTTTCGTTCACCTCTTCCGAATTTAATTAGGTAATAGCTTAT